ATTAACTCAAAATGGATCAAGGATCTTAATATCAGACCAAACTCTAAAGTTGATACAGAAAGAGTAGGAATACTCTGGAGTTAGTAGGTATAGGTAAGAACTTTCTCAGAAACCCAGCAGCACAGCAACTAAGAGATAGCATAGATAAATGGGACCTCATAAAACTAAAAAGCTTCTGTTCATCAAAAGAAATGGTCTCTAAACTGAAGAGAACACCCACAGAGTGGGAGAAAATATTTGCCAGCTACATCAGACAAAGGACTGATAACCAGAATATATAGGGAACTTAAAAAACTAAATTCTCCCAAAACTAATGAACCAATAAAGAAATGGGCAAGTGAACTAAACAGAACTTTCTCAAAAGAAGAAATTCAAATGGCCAAAAACATGAAAAAATGCTCACCATCTCTAGCAATAAAGGAAATGCAAATTAAAACCACTAAGATTCCACCTCACCCCTGTTAGAATAGCCATCATCAGCAACACCACCAACAAGGTGTTGGCGAGGATGCGGGGAAAAAGGAACCCTCTTACACTGTTGGTGGGAATGTAACTAGTACAACCACTCTGGAAAAAAATTTGGAGGCTACTTAAAAAGCTAACATTGATCTACCATTTGATCCAGCAATACCACTCTTGGGGATATACCCAAAAGACTGTGACACAGGTTACTCCAGAGGCACCTGCACACCATGTTTATTGCGGCACTATTCACAATAGCCAAGTTATGGAAACAGCCAAGATGCCCACCACTGACGAATGGATTAAGAAAATGTGGTATCTTACACAATGGAATTTTATGCAGCCATGAAGAACGAAATGTTATCATTCGCTGTAAATGGATGGAATTGGAGAACATCATTCTGAGTGAGGTTAGCCTGGCCCAAAAAGACCAAAATCGTATGTTTCCTCATATGTGGACATTAGATCAAGGGCAAACACAAAAGGGATTGGACTTTGAGCACATGATAAAAGCGAGCACACAAAGAGGTTGAGGATAGGTAAGACACCTAAAAAACTAGCTAGCATTTGTTGCCCTCAATGCAGAGAAACTAAAGCAGATACTTAAAGCAACTGAGGCCAATAGGAGAAGGGGACCAGGAACTAGAGAAAAGGTTAGTTCAAGAAGAATTAACTTAGAAGGTAACACACATGCACAGGAAATCAATGAGAGTCAACTCCCTGTATAGCTATCCTTATCTCAAGTAGCAAAAACCCTTGGTCCTTCCTATTATTGCTTATACTCTCTCTTCAACAAAATTAGAGATAAGGGCAAAATAGTTTCTGCTGGGTAGTGAGTGGTAAGGGGAGGGGGGTAAAGGGGATAAGGGAGGACACGGGGGGAAGAGGGGAGAAATGACCCAAACATTGTATGCACCTATGAATAAAATAAAAAATTTTTTTAAAAAGGGGGTAGAGGTGGAGAACACAAGCAAATTTAGAGAGTAAGATTGAATGCTGTGAAGGCTTCAAGGTAGCACTTACATAAATAAATGATTCCTAGGTTTCAAATTCAGTCATGTCCATTGAAATATGCTTCTCTGATGGGTCTGAATGAGAGGAGAGGCCTACCAGAATGACCTACTGTTAAACTTGCCTCATCTCAAAGTGGTATTAATTAAATGGATGGGCACTATAAATTCACATCTTGATTTTTTTTCTTTCTTTTGTTGCTTGTTTGAGTTAAAATAGTTACTAGAAAAAATCCTGAAAGATACTAAATTCTAACCCTTTACATTACAAATGAAATTTTTCATACTAATTTTTCTAAGTCAAAGATTTGGTCTCTGTGCCTAAACTGTCTTTTCTTATGGAGAATGAAATGGTTGACTTAAAAGTGGAGATAGACAAAGCAAAAACTTTTACAAGCGTGTAAGCAGTTATGGTGAAAAGGGCTTTCATTATTAACTAAGACCTTAATGCTTTATAGAAAAGAATTAAAATGTTTTTCAGCATTAGTTTTCTCTTCAGACATGCTAAATTGACTCCCCTACAAAATGAGCAGTTAAATATTTGTTTTGAAATCATATTGTGTAACTTTGGACTTTTCCTGTATAGAATTATTATTACATACAGTTTTGATCAATGACGTTTTTCCACATCACCATTGTTTATGCAATCAAAATATAAATCAGTACTATTCAATGTCAAGGTGAGGCTTTTGTAGAATTGCTACATAAAAACCCATAATTTGGGTAATATGATGGCATTTCATTTTATATCTGGAATTACATGAGCTTTTCTTTCTCTTGAATTGAAAATATGAATTCTGTTTCTGTTACTTAAACTCTGTATTCATATATCAGGTCTCATTGTAAATTTGTTCCTCTAACTAAAGATCATGCCACATAAGTAAATCCTTACATTGAAATCATTGGTCTGTTGCTAAAAATCTTACATGTTAATAACTTCCATCTCTCCAAAAGAGAGAAAGTTAACATCAGTAATCTGCACGATGCAATGAGAAAAATGGGGCTGATACTTACTGACAAGGAGTATGAGGAACTGCAGAAGGCTCTGTTGGTTTACAGTAAGTACTTAAGCAAATCCTTTGAAGCTTGGATTTAGGGGCTTAGAGGTGAAAACTTCTGAAAAATATGTATATATGGAAGTCCAGTAAGAATGCCTTTAGAAAACATAACTCTCACAAGAGAATAAATCCTGTTGCCTGTTCTTGTCACTTACATTGTAATACTGAAAGTGGCAACATCTTTCACCAGTTTCCACCATCAAAGCTAAATTTTCCTGTTTCCCTGCAAGCATTGCCTGTTCTAGATGAAGACCAAGGAGAAGGAAAATAAGGGAAAAAGGGAGAAAAGAAAATTAAGACTGTTTTTAATTCAGCCAATGAGTATATTATAACTACTGGTTTCATCCTACATTGAGGTAAAAATAGAATAAACTTCCAAACAAATCAAAAGTTTGTTTGGTATTTTTTTTCCTAAAATTATAGATGTTGTGCATGTTTGAGATCTCTTTGTTAATCTTCCCAACATTTAACCAATGGTGTCTTATCATATAGCTGGTGGAAAAATATATAAGGACTGATTGCTAAAAGCTGTGCAGGCCCTATGAGAAACATAGTCAAAGAGCAAGTAAAAAATATCCCCAGTCGGGGTGATGGCGCATGCCTGTAATATCAGCACTTGGGGAGAGGGGAGGCTGAGGTAGGAGAATAGCAAGCCGAAGACCATCCTGGGCTACATAGCAAGACCCGGTCTCAAAAATATATATATCCTTCTATGTAGTATTTTCTTATAAAATACTACATATAAATAAAATGGTCCAACTTTTCTTCATGCCAACTTATTGATTAATATGACTTATAACTTGCCATTCTTTTGAAAGTAAAGTATCATATTACTGTAGGAAGTTTTTAACACTATTTTCTGGTTAGACTTGGATCGGTTGTTTGTCGTTCCAACCATGAGTCAGTAGATTTGCCTAGTCCTCTATGGACCTCTTGTGAAAAACAGAGCCCCTGGGTCAATATTAAGGGAAATACCTTATTTACACTTTATGCACTAACTCTGTGTAAACAATTATTCTTTTAATTTTTAATTAGGTCTGGGATGTAGCTCAGTGGTACAGCATTTGCCTAGCATGTATAAGAACCTGGGTTTGATCCCCAGCACCTCAAAAAAAAAAAAAAAAAGTGAAAGTCTTCCTAACCTCCCTACCTCCCACTAATCTAATCCTCCCCATAAAGGCAAATTGAATGGTTATCTTTCTCAATTTTTCCTACCATTAACAGACATATCTAAATCTTGGAACACACATATTAACAGTTTATGTTCTGGTGCTTTACCCTCCAGTTGGGGTTTTTTATGTATGACCATGATTAGCATTTTTTACTCTTAAACATCAGTGTTCATGTTTTTATTCCATGTCCTTCTTTCCTAAGAGCCATAGGTCAAAATAAAAAAAAAAAGTAGTAGAACCTCTTCTGGAAAGCATAGGAATTAGAATCAAAGATGAGGAGCTTGAAGAACTAGTGGCCCAACTACCAAGTAATGGTAAGTACTGTAGACAGCACTATGCTCTTCAGAGAAACACTGAGCCCCTCTGTTAATCTGAGGAAAATAGCCTCTTTACAACCATAATCAAATAAGTGTAAATCAGAAGACTCAATCCTGACTCATGAAGAAACACCATCTTCAAAAATGTTTTTGAAGGAGTGAATGGTGGTACACACTTGTAATCCCAGCACTCAGGAGGCTGAGGATCACAAGTTCAATGCCAATTAGAGCTACATAGCAAAAAAAAAGGCTGGAGGTGTGGCTGAAGTGGTGGAGTATGGGCCTAGCAAGCACGAAGCCCTGAGGTCAAACCTCATTATCACCAAAAAAAAAAAATGCTTTTGGAAAGATATATCAGAGATACCACTTGTAGAACTCAGCTATGCCTAGGAGTGACACACATTTAAAAAGCTGAAAGAAGAATCACTTGAAGAGAAATTGGGGGGGGGGGCTGGGGCAGTACTAGAGTTTGAAGTCAGGGCCTCATGCTTGCTAGGCAAGCTAATAGAAATGTTTAAGATAAAAATTAAGAAAGTCAAAAGTCAAATGATAAACTAGAAGAGAATGGTTGCAAGACAAGGAGTTAATTTTCCTAATGTGGAAAGAGTCTTTGTACATTGATAAGAAACATAATGGGCGTAGAAAATCGGCCAAGTATGCAAGCAAGCACATGACTCATGTAAAGAGAAATATAGTTTGTACGTATGTACAATAGAACACATGAAGGGATGTTTAATCTCACCAATTATCATGAAAATACAAAGTGAAACACAATACAGAACTGTTTTCACTCCCCAAACTAGCAAAAATTAGTAACATTGATTATATCTAATATACATCTGTAACCTAACACAATAAATATTTGTTAATTATAATTTTTATAAATAAATAAGGAAAGATACAATTAGGACATTTCATAAGAAATAACACTGGATTCACTGTCTTCCTTCTTCACTACTTCTGTTGTTTTTCTTGGTAACTTCAGTGTCTTTCATATAGGTCAGAGGTTTTTGACTTCACTGTGCCATAGAACCCTTTGAAAGGCTGATGAATGAACCAATTGTAAGTATAATGTTTTAAATAAAATACATAGGATTACAAAGAAACTAATTGTATGAAAATGCAACTTATCAAAACATTCAAAATATAAATTCTTAGTACTTATTAAAGCATTTAAGAAGTTCTAGTGGCAGGTCAAATTATGATAGTGATGAGCATAAGCAACATTCCGACATAACACTGTGATATGAGAGCCAGCATGGTGGTGCACAGCTGTAATCCCATTACGTGGGAAGCTGAGGCATGGGGACTACAAGTTCAAGGCCAACCTGGGCAAAATAGTGAGATCTCATCTCAAAAAGAAACAGAAACACTGTGATATGAAAAACCTCACTGATTTATATTGATAACAAAGTTAGTTTGCTACAATTACTGTGATTTGTTGCCTAAATTAATAATTGAAGAAAATGCTAAATTTAAGTTAATGGTTAGTGAAAATAAAGATTTTTTTTCCTATTCAAGTTCAAGGAATCTCTGATTTCTTTCAGTAGAGGGTACGTGAACCCCAATTAAGAACTGATGATATTGGTCATCCATACAACATCCTGACCTCTAACTTCAATCATCTTTTCATTCCTTCCCCTTAACTACCGTTGCCATGATAATGACCTAGACCTTGTCCTCACCTATTAATTCATCACCTCCAAAATCTTTTATATATTACTGGGAGAGTATCTGCCTTGCAAGCACAAAGCTCTGGGTTCAAACTCCAGTACTGCCAAAAACAATCTTTTATATACCCACTCTCTAACCTGTATCCTTCCAGGTCACTTGCTAAGCAGACATTTCTGCCATAACACAATGTAGTACTTCCTAAAAAACTCCAGGTCTATAAAAATTGCTCACTAAAATAACTGTGCTTGTGGGGAAAATTCTGGAAGCACACAAAACTCCATGCCACTGTGAAATCAGAGCACTAACAAAAGCAGTAATTGATACTATATGAGGAAAGTTGGATAGCCCAGGCAAATAGCTCAAAGTAACTGGAAGCTATTAAATACACACACTCACACACACAGTTGAAAAGCTAGCTTGTCTCTCAGATAATGTAGATGGAAGCAGAGCTCTGAGCCAGTGAATCTGGTTCCCCCTCCTACATCATTGGGACCATTTATTATTACTATTTTTTTTTGAGGCACTGGGGTTTGAACTCAGGGCCTCACACTTGCTAGGCAGGCTGTCTTACCACTTGAGCCGCTCTGCCAGCCCTATTGTTAAAGCTTAACTGTCGGGGCTTTTGCTATAACCAACTCAGGATTTTTTTTCTTGCTGAAGTTTGTAATTAGGAAAAACTATGTATGAAGTATGTATGTATTATGAAATTATGTATGAATTATTAATGTAAAAATTGTCACTTTTTACATTACTGTGACATTGTCCCAATAGAATATGATGCCCTACTGCTACTGAAATGTGTGCTGCAGCACTGCAGAGCATACAAATCCCACCTTCAGCTTCTCTCCAGCCACGTGGAGCTCCTTATGCCTCTCCCCTACAACACTTCCATTATTTAACAACCCCTCACCACCATGTCTTCATTGCCTCCCTTCCTTAAATTAGATCCATGCTTGACATCATATAACCTTACAAGCTAGCAGAACTCCTATCGAATGTGCTTGGCAAACTAAGTCATCTTATTCCATGCTTACTCTTCAACAACCTAACATGGAAAACCACGCTAATAGAACTCATTCATATAACAGCCAAAAATTTAAAGTCAGCCCTTAACACTGCCAAAGAAGTCTCTGCTACATTTTCCAAGTAAATTCACTTCTTACTCCCAGAGACAATCTCACATCTTCTCTGTTCAAATTTCTATACCTTCTCACCTCAAGTTTCACCTAATGACCCCACTTCAGACTTCATAGAGAAAATAGATGCAGCTAGACAAAATGTCCTCATTTTCCTACCTTCATTGCTAGGAGCATAACCTATATACATGGCCACATGCCTGCCTTTTGCCTTGCTGTTACCGGAAAAGAATCACTGCTCCTTTAGTAGGCCAGCATTCCACTTGTGCATGCCTTCTTAAAGTCTTAACTCCTGCAATATTCCCTTTTTCTTGCCTGCATCAATTTCTCTCTCTCTATTGTATGCATGTGTGTGTGTATGTGTGTGTATGTCTGTGTATAAATACACAGACACACACAAAAAGTTGTCTCAAAAAGTTGTCATCACTGGCTCCACTTCCTTACCTCACATCCTACTCCTCACCACTCTCTAATCAGGCTTTCATCCCCACACTGCACTGGCCCAACTCCCAACAAGATTATCAGTGACCTGCTTCTTGCCAACATTCATAGTCAAGTCTGTTATTTCACTTGATATCTTGGTAGCATTTGACACAAGTAACCACCCCCTCCTTATTGACACATTTTTTTCCTTCCAATTTTTGAAGTCCCATTTTCACCTGGTTTTCTTCTTCCCTCACTGATAACTTCTTCTCTGTTTCCTGTTCTGACTCTTCCTCCTTACAATATCTCTACAAATACTGCAATGCCCAGGGCTAGACCGTGACTGCCTCTCTTATCTATACTCTCTTCCTAGGAGATCGAATCCAGTGCCCTTGGGTAAGATACCATCTCCAAGATGATGGAGTAAATGTTTCCTCTAGCTCAGTCACCCTGTCAGAAGGAGTATATTGAACAAGCTGTTTGATATTTCCACTTTCATTTCTTTTTTTGGCAGTACTGGGATTTGAACTCAAGGCCTTGCACTTGCTAGGCAAGAGTTCTACCACTTGAGTGACTCTGCCAACCTTCTACTTGCATTTCTAGAAACCATCACCAGTTCAATGGAATTACTAATTCCCCTATCTCAGTAGTCATATTCATCCCCATCTCAGTAGACATATTCTCTCTGATGATTGGAGGGTGGGGGTAGGGGAGATTTGGTTTCATTCTTGATTTCTCCTTTTACTCATATCCCACATTCAAATCTAGGCTCTACCTAAAAAATATGTCCAAAAGCCACCTATTTATCACCACTGGTGCAACCATAGCCTAAGCCACCATCACCTTTTTCTTGGGTCAGTGAAATAGTCTGTCTAGTCTCCATTCCTCCTGCTTCCTCGTTCTGCACACACCAGCAAGAGGGATGTTTTGAAAGCTGAAATGCAATTACTCTGTTTTTTCTTCAAGTCCTCCAATGACACCAGAATAAAATCCAAACTTTGAAACCAGAATAAAATCCAAACTTTATCATCATGGCTTACAAGACCCTGTCACATTGGTCTTCTGTCTCTCAATCGTGTCAAATTCATTTCCATTTTAAGACTACTGCACATACTCTTCTTCAAACTACACAAGAATATTCTTTGAATATTCTTTCCCCAATTCTTCACATGGCTAACTCCTCATCTATTCAGGCAGGCTTCAACCTGGCCTCCCTGTCTAAAACAATCCCATCCTATATTCTTTGTTATGTTTCCCTGTTTTATTTTTGATAGCACCTTACCAGTATCTCAAATTATTCTTTTTGTTTATATGCTTATTATTTGTCTTCCTCACTAGATTGTGCACTCCTTAAGAACAAGAATGCATCACCTTGCTTACTTTTGCATCTCCCAAGGCCTAACAAAGTCCCTGGCACAAAGTAGTTTCTCCATAAATATTTGTGGATTAACTGACAAAATAAAAATATGTAGAATCAGATTCACTTTGTCCTGTCTCCCTGCACTTAACTACCCAGTCATTTCTCAATTTCAATGATTCTGGTATGTAAAGCAAAGGAAAAGAGAAGATACAATAATGATTTGTTATACACTGAAAGCTTTCTTTGTTTCTAAGATAACAATATCATCTGTGAGGATAAGTCCATAAAATTCTAAGGAAAATTGGAAAAAAAATCACTGAATTTTTTTTGGTGGTACTAGGGTTTGAACTCAAGGCCTTATGCTGGCTAGGTAGGCTCTCTACCACTTGAGCCATAGCCCAGTCCAAAATTGCTGAATTCTTATGATCTTCATAATTTCAGAACTTAATACAGTATAAATTTGTGAGTCTCAGTAACAATGACATATCTGACCCTGAAGTATACTTCCCTTGCCTTATAGGTAATAGAACAGTTGATCTGAATGATCCGATGGATGCCATTAGTTACATCAAAGGTGAGTTGCAAGTTATTATGAAAAAAACGTTATGAATAGCATCTTAATGCCTTATGATTCATGAAAGAGGAAAACATTCCCCATTCATAAAAGTTTAAATTCTATCAGATAGCATATGTTCAGTTTTGTGGATGCTGCTGAACTTGGGTAAATAATTACTAATATGTATTTATATATCGATGTCCATAGTATCTCTGAAATTTTCCCCAAGAGAGATCTTCATACAGTAATAAATATCAAAAGCCATAGAACTGTTTATGTCCTTTTCTCCACTAACCCCACTCTTAAAAATGTATCCTATGGAAATAATTTTATTAAATAAAATTAAAAATCTCTACCTAAAGACTTTCATTCTATGAGTAAGAAAATTGAAAAAACCAAGCATTAGTAGCACACACCTGTAACCCTGGCCCTCGGGAGGCTGAGGCAGGAGAATAGCAAAACTGAGGCCAGCCTAGGGTGCATCGCAAGTTCTAAACTATTTTGGGCAACACAGCAAGACCCTGTCTCAAAACAAATTAAATAAATAAAAGAGGCTGGGCACCTGTGGCTTAGCACCTGTGATCCTAGCTACTTGGAAGGCTGAGATCCAGAGGATCACAGTTCAAGGCTAGTCCGGGCAAGTATTTGAAGAGACACCCTCTCATCTCCAAAATAGCCAACTCAAAATGAAATGGAGTCTTTGCTCAAGTAGTAGAGCACCTGCTTTGCCCAACACAAAGCCCTGAGTTCAAACCCCAGTCCCACCAGAGGGAGAGGGAGGAAGGGAGGGAGGGAGGGATGGAGGATGGGAGGGAAAGAAAACTGAATTAGGTCAGAAATATCTAACCATATGGTAATTACTGCATATAAACCACGCATGTCAGTTTAATGGGAGAGTATGTGTTGAAATGTTAACTGTGAAGACTATGTGGCAACTGAGGAATGTGTTTATGAAGAGATGGTTTTAGGTTGAAAAGGCAAAATACAGAATTGTACATATATTACATTCTCACATTATAACAATATTACAAAGTATAAGAGTCTTATTATGAAAGACCAGAATGGGATATGAAAAACTGAAAATGTGTTTTGTGGTATGGTGATAGAATCGTCTTTTTCCCCTGTAACCTTTAGTGTTGTTACATTGTTTTTACAATGGATGAGAAAAGCTTCATTTTGGTTGTGTTGAAATGAATAAAATTCTTGGAATGCATAGTGACCAGAGAAGCAAACTACAGACAAATATATTTTTAAATAAATAAAAAATAAATTTTAAACACTGGTATGTATTGCTATAGTCTTACCTACTTGAGAGGCTGAGACAGAAGAATTGAAGGTTTGAGGCCAGTCTGGGCAACATAGGCAACATGTTTTAAAAAAAAAAAAAAAGAAGAAGAAGAATATTCAAGTGGGATGAAGAAGACAAAAAGTAAAACTAAATCCTTATATTGGCTTAACTTGGTGTAAACTTTGTAATAACCCACCAGCCAATTCCTAACCCCTGGTATACGTTCTTCTTTGTAACCCCTAAGCAGAATTAAATACATGGATTTTTTTTTCTAACTCTTCTTTTAATTCTGTGTATACCACACAGGTGATGGTAGGTATAAGCACAGATAGTGTTTTTTATCCTTCGTAAATAGTCCCTTAATATTTCTGCACCTCATTTCTCACCTTTTTTAAAGAAAGGCAGTTGACATCCAGAACTTAGACAAGTTTCTACCCAAGTGAGGGGATTAAGCACACAGAAGAAATGGTGGATCTAATGCCTCATCTGAGTGGTGAGTGGGTTTTTATAATTATGTTGTCTTCCTAGAAGTATATTTGTATCCTGTATAGAAGATCCTCAGATCTTACGTCAGTGTTATTTTTGTATCACCTGAGGAAGTGTTTCTTCACATCCATTGTGCATATGAATCACTTCACATCTAAAGTAGAGCCAGAAGCTTGCATTTCTAGTGAGCTCCAAGTGACAAACAATGATGCTAGTTCATGAACCACATTTTGCTTATTGAGGACCCAAAAGATGAAGAAGGGAGATAATATGTTAATATTATGCCTGGGCTTTCCTTCCTTAAATCACAAGTGCAACCAATATGCTAATTTGTGCCTCAGAGCATGATTCTATCCCAAAAGGAAGGAAAAATATTAAAGTAACTGAAGTTAGAAAATAAAAATGAGTGCTAGGAAGAAACACACAGAAAAGCAAGAGGAGTTTAGAGATGGTGCACTTAGTTTGCATGTTTGCTTATTGAGATTTTTCATATTGTTTATTGAGTTTAGTTATATGACTTACCCACTGGTCCTCATGTTTCTTCTTTTTCTTCTTTCTTTCTTTCTTTTTCTTTCCTTTATTTTCTTTTCCCTTCTTTCCTTTCCCCTTCTTTCCTTCCTTCCTTCCTTTCTTTTTTCAGTATTGATTGAACCTAGGGACTCAAGCTTGCTAGACAAGTGCTCTACTACTTGAGCTATGCTTCCCCCCGCAGACTGGTTTCTACTACTAGAAACCAGCTATTCCGGGGGAGAAAAAAAAAAAACTTATCCAAACACATTAGCGAGTAGCATTCCCTCCATAATGCTTCAGTGGTGTTGCCAGATCATGTCTGTGCAGCTCTAGCCTTGAATTTAAGACTGTACACTGAGGGCTGCCAACATGGCTCAAGCGGTGGAGGACCTGCCAGCAAGCCTAGCAAGTGTGAGGCCCTGAGTTCAAACCCCACCCCAGCCCCTGCCAAAAAAAAGCCTATACACTGAGCTGGGGTATAGCTCAGTGGTGGAACACTTGCCTGGCATATGTGCAAGGCCCTGGTTTGACCCATACCACAGTTTAAAAAACAGAAAAACAAGAAAGACCACATATACCCCTCAAACCACTGAACTACTCATTACTCCTTTAAAATATCTTGTTCCTTCCTACTTTTATCCCTCTATTAATACAATTTCCTTTATCTAGAATGCTCCTCCTCCCCTCCATCTCCATCTATCCAGCAGATAGAGCCTATTTCACTGCCCCATGCTCACCATGTTTTCCTTGATTCCTACTGGTATCTATTCCCTGGTCAGAATGCCAGCCTTCCTTCTCTTAACTCTGACAGGACTTCGTAGCAGTACTCAGTAGAGACCCAGACTGTTCCACCTTACACTGATTTCTTTTGTCTATGCCTCAAGCTTCTTGAGAATAAGTAAAGTAGTGCCTTACATGTCTGGATTATCACCCCTCCCTCCCTGAAACTTTTGGTTCCTTTCTTGTTGATTTGAGACATGGTTTTGCTACATACCCAGACTGGCCTCTAATTCAAGATCCTCATGCCTCAGCCTCCCCCACCAAGTGTTGGAATTATAAGTGCGCACCTCCTTTTTCAATAAATGGACATATATTCAGTTGCTCAAGCCAAAATCTTTTTTGTTTTCTTTGTTTTTTATATATTTTTTAATTGTTGTTGGACTGGGGTCATTGTGAGATTTGTAAAAGTTTTTTACAATATATCATAGTTGAATTCACCCCCCTAGCATTCTCCTTTATCCCCCCTCCCCCATTCCTGGAATAGTTTCAACAGGTGTCATTTTTCCATTTTCATATATGCATATATAATATTTCCATCATATTCACCCTCCTACAACCTTTCCTTACATCCTCCTTCTTCCTTCCCTCTGGTTCCCATCCCCCAGACAGGACCTGTTTTGCCTTTCTGTTCTCTGTTTTTGTATAAAAAAAAATGACGTTTTTGTTTGTTTAAGATAGCTATATAGGGCATTTCCTTGTGACATTTCTGTGTATGTATTGTAACCCAAATTGGTTCATCCCCTCTATTTTTCTCCTTTCTACCTTAGTCCCCTTCTTATGATGATTTTAACAGGTTTGAAAATTTTATATTCATTCTTGTATAAAGAGTGCATCAATTGTATTCACCTTCTTAAGTTCCTTCTTTTACCCGCCCCCCTCATATGTGACCTCTCCTTAGCATGACCTGTTTTTCATAATATTGCTGTATTGTATTAGGTCTATATTACACATATGAGAGAAAACAGGCTTTCTCTAAGCCTGTTTAATTTCTAAGCCTGACTAATTTCACTTAAGATGACGTTCTCCAGTTCCATCCATTTACCTGCAAATGACAAAATTCCATTCTTTTTTGTGACTAAATAAAATTCCATTGTGTATAAATACCACATTTTCATAATACATTCATCAGTAGTGGGACATCTTGGCTATTTCCACATGTTAGTTATTGTAAATAATGCTATAATAAACATAGATGTGCAGGTGCCTTTATTGTAAACTGACTTACATTCCTTCAGATATATGCCTACAAGTGGTATTTATGCTTTTTTTTTTTTTGGTGGTACTGGGGTTTGAACTCAGGGCTTCACACTTGCTAGGCAGGCGCTCTACCATTTGAGCCACTCCACCAGCCCCCTACAAGTGGTATTGCTGGATGATATGGCAGTTCTATTTTTAGTTTTTGAGGAGCCTTCATACTGTTTTCCATAATGGTTGCACTAATTTACATTCCCACCAGCAGTGTATGAGGGTTCCTTTTATCCCCACATCCTCACCAACATTCGTTATCATTTGTGTTCTTGATGGTAGCCATTCTAACAGAAGTAAGGTGAAATCTTAATGTGGTTTTGATTTGCATTTCCTTTATGGCCAGGGATGTTGAGCATTTCTTCATGTGTTTTGTTGTTGTTGTTGTTTTGGTTTGGTTTTAGCCATTTGGAGTTCTTCCTTTGAAAAAAGCTTTGTTCAGATTATTTTCCCATTTCTTCATTGGGTCATTGATTTTTTTGGAGAGTTTAGTTTTTTGAGTTCCTTATATATTCTGGTTCTTAATCCCTTGTCAGATATATAGCTGACAAAGATTTTCTCCCATTCTGTGGGCTGTCTCTTCAATCTTATGACCATTTCTTTAGTTGTGCAGAAGCTTTTTAATTTCATGTAGTCCCATTTGTCAATCCTTTCTCTTAGTTACTGAGCCTTTTGAGTTCAAGGAAGTCAATGCCTATGCTCATTAGTTCTAGAGTATTTCCTGCTCTTTCCTGCACTACCTTCAAAGTTCCAGGTCTTATACTAATTAAGGTCCTTAATCCACTTTAATACTTATACAGGGTGAAAGACATGGATCTAGTTTGAGTTTTGTGTATGCAGACATCCAGTCTTCCCAGCAACATTTGTTGAAGAGGTTGTCTTCTCTACATAGTAGATTTGGGGCATTTTTGTCAAAAAATCAGGTGGGTGTAGTTGTGTGGATTCATATCTGGGTGTTCAATTCCACTGGTCTTCATGTCTGTTTTGTGCTAGTACCATGCTGTTTTTATTGCTGTGGCTCTGTAGCATAATGTGAAGTCAAGTATTGTTGCTCTTTTTGCTCAGTATTGCCTTGGCTAGTCTCAGTCTTTTGTGTTTCCAAATGAACTTTAGGGTTGATTTTTCAATCTCTGTGATGAATGTCATTGGAATTTGGTGGGGATTGCATTGAACATTTAGATTGCTTTTGGTAGTATAGCCATTTTCACAATATTGATTCTGCCAATCCGTGAGCATGAGAGGTCTTTCCATCTTCTGTAGTCTTCTTTGATTTCTTCTTAACAACTTCCGTTGTTAAGTTTATTACTATGTATTTTTTTAGGCTATTGTAAATGGAACTGTTTTCCTATATTCTTTCTCAGACTGTTCATTGTTGTTATATATAGAAAGGCTACTGATTTTTGTAAATTGATTTTATATCCTGCTACTTTACTGAAAGTGCTTATGAAGTCTAGGGAGTTGTTGGTGGAGTTTTTTGGGTCTTTTAGGTATAAGATCATGTCATCTGTGGAAGGAAGGACGAAAGGAAGGAAGGAAGGAAGAAAAGTGATAAATGAATGTTCTTGATTTCAATTCTGACTCTAGTGCCTTTCAACTTTTTGCTTTTAGTGTTTGACACATTAAGGCATCAAAAAAAGCAATATGAATTATGATGGATATGTCACATAACTCATATTTTCTTCAGTTGCCCACTCACCAGAGGAAAAAATAAGATAAACTATAATCCTATTAATACTTTCTGTAGCTTCAGAAATTTATATAATTTTGATTCTTAATCTTGTCTTTTAAGCAAAAGGAATGGTGACTCCACCTAAGTTGATGAGAACTGCCAGTGATATTAAATATGAGTGTAAAACCTGATGTGATGGTGTATTAAAAGCAGGGCTTAGTACTTTGATGTATAGTTCTTAATACCATAGTGTCTTCCCTAATTGTCTTCTCAGTTTCTATCCTCAGTCCACTGATCCATAAGGTGATTGGACACCATTCTCTCTCCAACTGTTTTTCTATACCACACAGATTCATATTGATTATCAGGTATTTTATATTATTTTCTAATAGCTTCATTTGCTATTTTTAACCTATAACTACATTGTAACTATTTAGTATCATAGTGTAGTTTACAAAGTAAATGTTCTTGACTCTGCCATTGAGGACATTAATTCAATTCATTGAGCTTTAGTGTCCTTATTAATAAAATGATGGGTGAATTCAGTTGCTGATCTGTTAGTTCCCCTTCTTTAAAATTCTAGCTCTAACTTTTGTACTTGAAAGGATACTACCAAAAAAAGTATAAAAATAATGTACAGAATGGGAGAAAATACTTGTAAATCATAAACTAATAAGGGTCTAGTATTCAAAATACATAAAGGTCCTTTATAGGAAGGGGTGGAGGGAGAGAGACAATGGGGGTGATGTAACTAATGTACAATATAAGCCTAATCAGAATTGTCACTATGAATCCCCCCATGTAACCATGTATTTGGTGGTTTGCAGAAAAAGGATTAGACAATTCAATATAACTTGCTAGAAATCTGATGCTAGGAATATTTTCTGATACTTTGAATTGACTTTCAAAAGAGTAAGTCTCTGAGAGCTATGTGTGGAAGTACACACTTATAATCCCAGCCCTGGGGAGGTCCCATCCTATGGGAGCTGT